GGGAAGAATGCTGAAGACAAACCCAGATTGCTTTTTTACTCAGGGCTGTCTCACACGTGGAAAAAAAAGAGAAATGACTTTATCCTTCCCTGGTGTTCCTTAGCTCCTTTGGCAAATACTGATTCATTGCAGGTTAACTAGGAGTTTGTGGAATGAAGGGAGAACCCAACCCTGTGTATATTGTTGGTCCACTCAGAAAGTGCATGCAAGCATGGCTGGTTTAATTGCTCTTTGCCTTATTGTGCTTCACAGGTGTTGCATTTTTTAATAAATCTTCGGCAACCCTGTGTCTAGCAAGTCTAGGTACCATGTTGCCAACAGCCTTTGCTCACTTCATATCTCTGTGTCACATTTTGGTAATTCTTGCAGTATTTCAAACCTTTTCATTAGTATTATATTTGTTATGATGATCTGTCATCAGTGATTTTTGATGTACTGTTGTAACTGTTTTGGAGTGCCATGAACCACACTCACATAAGAGGGTGAACTTAATTGGTAAGTGCTGTGCATTCCCCTGGCCTTCCCCTGTCAGTCTCCCTCCCTTCAGTTCCCTCTATTCCCTGAGACACAACAATGTAAAAATTAGGCCGATTAATAACCCTATAATGGACTCTAAGTATTCAAGTGAAAGGAAGAGTTACATGTTTATATTTTAAATCAAAAACTAGAAATGATTAAGCTTAGTAAGGAAGGAGTGTCAAAAGCCAAGATAGGCCAAAACTAGGCCTCTTGTGCCACACCCCCGAATTGTGACTGCAAAGGAAAAGTTGTAAGGAAATTAAAAGTGCTACTCCAGTGAACACATGCATGATAAGAAAGCAGAACAGCCTTGTTGATATGGAGACAGTTTGAGTGGCCTGGATAGAAGATCAAACCAGCCACAACATCGCCTTAAGCCAAAACATAATCCTAAAGCTTAAAGCAGGGCCCTAACTCTCTTCAATTCTGTGAAGACAGAGAAGTGAAAAAGCTACCCAAGAAAAGTTTGAAGCTATCAGAGGTTGGTTCATGGGGTTTAAGAAAAGAAGCCTTCTCTAGAACATAAAAGTGCAAGGTGATGCAGCCAGTGCTGATGGAGAAGCTGTGGTGAGTTACCCAGAAGATCCAGCTAAATAATTAATCAAGGTGGCCACACTGGACAACAGATTTTCAGTGTAGATGAAACAGCCCCTTGTCTTGGAAGAAGATGCCATCGGGGGCTTTCAGAGCTAGAGAGAAGTCAATGCCTGGCTTCAGAGCTTCAAAGGACAAGCTGACTCTCCTGTTAGGGGCTAATGCAGTTGTTGACCTTCAGTTGAAGCCATAGTTTATATACCTTTCCAGAATCTCTAGGGCCCTTAAGAATTATGCCAAATCTATTCTGCTTGTGCTCTATAAATAGAACAACAAAGCCTGGATAATAGCACATCTATTTACAACCATGATTTACTGAATATTTTAAGCCAGATCTACTGCTCAGAAAAAAAAAAAAAAGATTCAAAATATCACTGCCCATCGACAATGCACCCGGTTACCTAAGAGCTCTCTCTCTGTTGGAGACATAAAATGAGATTAATGTTTTCATGCCTCATAACAAAATATCCATTCTGCAGCCCATGGATCAAGGATCCATTTTGACTTTCAAGTCTTATTACTGAAGAGATACATTTCATAAGACTATAGCTGCCACAGATAGTGATTCTTCTGACCGATCTGGGCAAAGTAAATTGAAAACCTTCTGGAAAGGATTCATCATTCGAGATGCCATTAAGAACATTCATGATTCATGGAGAAAGATCCAAATACCAACATGAACAGGAGTTTGGAAGAAGTGGATTCCGACCCTCATGGAGGACTTTGAGGGGTTCCAGACTTCAGTGGAGGAAGTAAGTACAGGTGTGGTGGAAATAACAAGAGAACTAGAATGAGAAGTGGAGCCTGAAGACTTGACTGAATTGCTACAATCTCATGATTCATCTTGAACAGATGAGGGGTTGCTTCTCATGGATCAGCAAAGAAAGTGGATTCTTTTTTTTTTTTTTTTAAAGATTTTATTTATTTATTCATTAGAGACAGAGAGAGAGAGGCAGAGGGAGAAGCAGGCTCCCAAGGAGCAGGGAGCCCGATGCGGGACTCGATCCCAGGACCCTGAGATCATGACCTGAGCAGAAGGCAGACGCTTAACCATCTGAGCCACCCAGGCGCCCCAAGAAAGTGGATTCTTGAGGTGGGATCTACTCCTGGTGAAGATGCTGTGAAAATTATTGAAATGATAGTGAAGGATTTAGAATATAACATAAACTTAGCTTATCAGGCAGTGGCAAGATTTGAGAGGATTGACTTGAATTTTGAAAGTTCCTCTGTGGGGAAGATGCTACCAAACAGCATCACTGTTACAGAGAAATTGCTCATGAAAGGAAGAGTCCAAGGATGTAGCAAACTTCACTGTGGTCTTATTTTAAGCAATTGCCACAGTCACCCCTACTTTCAGCAGCCCCCACCCTGATCAGTCAGCAGCCACGAACATCTAGGCAAGACCCTGCACCAGCAAAAAGATTATGACTCACTGAAAGCTCAGATGATGATTAGCATTTTTAGCAGTAAAGTATTTTTTAATTCAGGTATGTACACAGTGCATTGTTTTTTTAGACATGTATTGCATACTTAATAGACTGTAGCATAGTGTTAATGTAACTTTTATATGCAATGGGAAACCAAAAAATTCATTTGATTTGTTTTATTGTGATATTCACAATATTCTATTGTGGCGGTCTGGAACCAAGCCTGCAATATCTCTGATATTAAGTATCAAGTTTTGAACTAACCTTGAGTTGTGCTTCTGGAGCACACATTCCTGAAGTATGGATTCACATGAATAGAGTGTTAACCAGGTGGGTCCTGGGATCAATCTGGCCGGGTTTGAATCTTGGCTCTGACATTCACTACCTCAGAGATCTTGGACAAGTCTCTTAGTTTTCCTGTGCTTCATTTTTTTTTTTTTATTTGTATATTTGGGATGATAGTAGTAGTACTTATCACTTAGGGCTTTAATGAGAAATGAGTGAGTTAATGCATGTAAAGCACTTAGAACAGAGCCTAGCAAAGTGTTGCAAAGCAGTTGCATAAGAATTCTATGATCTGATTCGTCAACCATGTCCTTCAGTTTTATTTGAGAAAATATAGTCTCTAACTTCTCTAGGATAAGATTTTTGTTTTTTGAGAGAGAGAGAGAGAATGAGAGATCATGTGATGGGGTGGAGAAGGAGAGGGACAGAGGGAGAGAGACAATCCTAAGCAGGCTCCTCATCCAGAGCCAAGCCCCTGGTTGGGCTCAACCTCACGACCCTGAGATCATGACCTGAGCCGAAACCAAGGGTGGGTCGCTTAACCAACTGAGCCACCAGGTGCCCCTCTGAAATAAGATTTTAAAATGTTATTTAAGTGACACTTTGTTAGTCCTATAAATATCTATGTATTTCCCGATGGTGGTCAGCTGTCTTCTTTACACCAAGAAATTGTCTGGACCAATTCATAATTTTATAGCCCAAACCTAATCTTTCAAATGCAAAACCTCTCTTTCCACATCTTCATTAACAAAATTTAGCAGGTAGATAATTATGTGGAGATCAGGATTCTACAAGGTACTGAGTTTTGAGACAAGTTCCTGAGAGGAAATAAATTACATTCATTTACATCTGAATGTAATTGTCGAGTACCCCTTTTCCATATTTGTATATAGAACAAGATCCCTCTCTCAAGATTCTATTACAGACTCTTATCAGTTCTATTTTAACTCAGTAGCTGGTGTATCCCATTATGTTTCTGCAATTCAGAGAAGTATGAATGGGGAATTTTAATGTGCTTGTTTAATCAAGGGATTTTTAAGGCCGAATTATTTGGTCCTTATGTGAAAATAGACAGTATGGAAGAGTAGATAGAACATAAAACAAAAGTTCAAACTCCTGGATTCTCTTCCTGCTTCTGCCATTAAGAAGATGTGTGATCTCGAGTCCATCCCAGAATCTTCCTGGGCCTGTCTCAAATGGAGGATTTGAACCAGGTATTGCTTAAGGTTTGTGACAGATCTCATATTGTATGATTGTGCAACATCCCAGTGACCCTACCGAGTGAAGTGTGTGCTTTGCCTTGACTGACGTGTATAGTTTCTTTCCCAGTTTCCTTAAAACCATTTGAAATGGCTTTGCCAGATCCCCAGCCAGGGTGAGAGAGGCATTCTGTGGCTGCAAAGTAGGAAATGCCCGCTGGGTCTGCAAGAGAACAAGTCCCTGCCTTATAACATTTCTACATTTACAACTGGAATTGTTAACATTCTCATCCAGAAGGGTTTGATTGCATGGCAGATGAATAAAGGCAAGCTCTGGGGGCATCATTACTCTTACCATTAACAGCAGTTGTTTGCATTTTTCTATTTTGCAGAAGATAAAGGAGAAATCTGAGAAGATAAATAACTGTTTAAAAAGTGAAGATAAATAGTTTATTACTGTAGATACACAACTGAGTTGCCACTTGTCTATTTTTTTCTGGGGAGGCAGTGGAGGTCCAGGAGGAGCTTTCTGTCTACCTCTCAGAGATACTTTTAATTTCTCAAAGGGAAGCTAAAGAAACGAGATTAACTTATTTTGTGACCTACTTCTGCTTTTCCAATTTGGGGGCCTTCCTTTCTATGTTAATTTATTCCATTTGATATTAACTAGAGCTCTTTCTTTGGTTGACAGGTTTACTTGAGCACAGGAAATCTAAAAAACAAAAATCATTGGGATAAATACTTTTACAAGAGATAGTAGGCTGATATGCTATGGAACTAGCTTATTCCCTCCAGAATCATGGGAATAGGGCGGCTGCAATCCTTGTTTTAGGACTTAATGTAGAAATTTAAGTTGTTGACTGTAGTAAATATAAATTAAGATAATATCACGGCACTTGTGGCCAACTTTAATTTCATTGTTATTTCAAGAAGGAGTCAGTAAAAACATTAATTTCCACTTTTTCTTTTCTTCTAGCCGTGGACTCCTGCCCTGTAGGTCCTTCTGTGAGGCTGCCCAAGAGGGTTGCGAATCAGTCCTGGGGATGGTGAATGCCTCCTGGCCTGACTTCCTCACCTGCTCCCAGTTTAGAAACCAAACCGAAAGCAGCAATGTCAGCAGGATTTGCTTCTCACCACAACAGGAAAAAGGCAAGGAATGTAGGTGTCCGTGTTTCATTTCATTTAAAAAACTTTTTACTGAAATATACCGTTCATACAAGGATGTATACAAATAATGTATACTTCAATACATTTTATGAAAGTGACCAGACCCATATAACCAGCACCCAGATCAAGAAATAGATCACACAAAACTTGTACATGATGAATGTTCGTAGTGGCATTATTTATGGTAACCAAAAAGTGGAAACAACCCACATGTTCTTCATCTAATGTATGGATTTTTAAAAAATAGTATATTCATGCAGTGGAATATTAATTGACAGTAAAAATGCATGGACTCCTTGTGCATGATACAGTATAGATGAACCTTGAAAATGTTTTGTTAAGTGAAAGAAGCACTGGGTTTGAATCTTGGGCAGCCCCCTTCCAGTCCACTTACCCTCCCAAAAGAAACCTCTCTTCTTTTTTTTTTAAGGTTTTATTTATTTATTAGACAGAGAGCACAGCAGGGGGAGCGGGAGAGGGAGAGGGAGAAGCAGACTCCCGGCTGAGCAGGGAGCCCGACACGAGGCTCGATCCCAAGACCCTGGGATCATGACCTGAGCCGAAGGCAGCAGCCTAATCAACTGAGCCACCTAGGTGCCCCAAGAAACCTCTCTTCTAAGAGAAGCCACCTAAGGTGATTTCTGTCATCTTAGATAGGCTTGCCTACTTCTGAGCTTCGTGTCAGTGGAATTGGGAAGGATGGACTCCTTTTGTATCTAACTTCATTTGCTCAACATTATGTTTGAGAGATTCTTTATGTTTTCCTCTATGGTTCATTCATTCTCACTGTTGCATAGTATTCTAATATATTACATCCCAATATATTTTTCTATTCAATTGTGGCTGGAGATTTGAGTTGCTTCTAGCTATTATGAATAGTGATGTTTTGACGATTCTTGTGTATGTCTTTGATTGAACATAGTTCATATATTTATTCAGCAAAAAGTTTTTTAAAGTGGTTGTACCAATTTATCCTCCTACCAGCAGGGTGTGAAAGCTGCAGTCGCTCCAGATTCTCCCCAACACTTGTTATTGTCAGTCTTCATCATTTTACCAATCCTGATGATAGTATTGTGGCCTTTTGTGGTTTTAAGTTGCATTTCCCTGATGAGTTTGATTAATTTTTCAAAAAATTTTGGTGATGTGAATACCCCTTTTCATGAAGCATCTGTGCAAGTGTTTTACCATTCTTTGTTTGGGTAGTTTGCCTTTTTGTTCTTGATTTATAGTTCTTTATGTATTCTAGATATGTCAACTCTTGGGTTTATGTATTGTGAAGATCTCCCACTCTGTGGTTTGCCTTTCTTATTAGTGTCAAATTATGGAATAGAAGGTCTTAGTTTTAATGGGTCCATATTATCAGTCTTTTATTTTGTGGTTCATTTTTGGTGTCTTGTTTAAGACATCTTTGCCCACACCAAAACATTGAAGTTTTTTTCCTGTGTTTTCTTCTCGGACCTTTTATTGTTTTAGCATTTACATTTACACCTACCATATCCTAGAATTAATTTTTGTGTATGGTGAGAGCTATGGGTTAACTTTTTTTCTGTGCATATATTTAATTGACCCACTGCCCTTTATTTATTTAGAGTACAATCTTTCCCCTCTGCACTATAATGTCACCTTTGTTATCGGTCAAGTGATTGATTATATAAACATCTGTTTCTAGACCCTCTATTTGGCATAGAATTAAGCCAATACCACTCTGTCTGGATTCCTATAGTTTTATAAGTCTTTATATTCAATAGTGTAAGTTCCTCACCTTTTTACTTCTTAAAGATTGCCAGTTCTTGGTCCTTTACATTTTATGTAAATTTTCAAATCACTGTGCAGTTTCCACAAATGCTTTTTGTTTTGATTTGGGATTGCATTAAATCAATAGTTCAAATTAGGGAGAATTGCTTTATAACATTGAGTCTTCCAACCCATCAAAATGATATACTATGGTAATCTTTACTTAAGTATTTTAATGAGTTATTCTTTAATTTCTCTCAATAATGTTTGGTAATTTCAACCAGAAAGATCTTGTTCATCTTCCTTTAGATTTATTCATGATATTTTTTATGTCATTTGTAAATGGAATCTTTAAAAATTTTTGTTTGTGTACAAATAAATCACATATTGATTTTTATACCTCTCTGTAGATCCATTTGGATTTTCTAAGTGAACATTATGTCATCTACAAATGACAGTTTATTTTCTCTTTTCCAATCATTATGCTTTCTGTTTCTTCTTTGTCATAGAGAAGGGTTTCAATATTTCACTTTTATTTATTTATTTTTTATTTATTTATTTTATTTATTATTATTTTTTTAAAGATTTTATTTATTTTTTAGAGAGCGAGCGAGAGAGAAACAGCATGAGAGGGGAGAGGGTCAGAGGGAGAAGCAGGCTCCCCGCTGAGCCGGGAGCCCGATGTGGGACTCGATCCCAGGACCCTGGGATCATGACCTGAGCCGAAGGCAGACGCTTAACCATCTGAGCCACCCAGGCGCCCTCAATATTTCACTTTTAATTATAATGTTTGCAGAAAGACTTTTACTGATACTCTGTGTCAGATTAAGGAAGTCCTTTCTATTTCTGGTTTGCTAAGGTTTTTTTTTTTTTTTTAAATCATGAATGGATTTTGAATTTTATCAAATGCATTTTCTACATCACTTGAGATGATATGATTTTCTCCACATTATGTTAAAAATATAAGCTTTACTGATATGTAATTCATATACCATAATATTCACTCTTTTAAAATGTATAATTAACTGGTTTTTGTATACTTATAGAGTTGTACAACCATCCATAGCCATCTAATTCCAAAACATTTTTGTCACCCTAAAAAGAAACCCCATGCCCATTAGCAGTAATGCCATTTTCTCCTCCCCCAGCCACTGGAACCACTAATGTACATTCAGATTCTATGGATTTGCCTATTTTGGACATTTCATATAAATGGAATCATAAAATGGGACCTTTTGTGATTTGCTTCTTTCATTTAGCATAATGTTTTCAAGGTTTACCCATGTTGTAGTATGTATCAGTACTTCATACATTTTTATTGTCAATTACTGTTCCTTTGTATGAATATACTATTTTTAAAAATCCATACATTAGTTGAGGAACATTTGGGTGTTTCTACTTTTTGTTTACTATGATGCCACAATGAATATTCATGTGAAAGTCTTATGTGAACATATGTTTTCAATTCCCTTGTGTATATAGCTTGGAGTAGAATTGTTGTGACCAGTAATAACTCTGTTTAACACTTTGAGGAAATGCCAGTCTCATCAGCAATGTACAAGTGTTCCAATTTCTCCACAGCCTCACCAACACTTGTTATCCTTTTTGATTATAACCATCCTAGTGGGTAGGAAGTAGTATCTCAGTGTGATTTTGTTTTGCAATTTTTTTTTAAAAGATTTTATTTATTTATTTGAGAGAAAGAATGAGATAGAGAGAGCATGAGATGGGGGAGGGTCAGAGGGAGAAGCAGACTCCCTGCTGAGCAGAGAGCCTGATGCGGGACTCAATCCCGGGACTCCAGGATCATGACCTGAGCCGAAGGCAGTCGCTTAACCAACTGAGCCACCCAGGCGCCCTTGTTTTGCAATTTAATAATGACTAATTATGTAGATAATTCAACATTTCATGAGCTTGTTAGTCATTGTATGTCTTTTTAGAAGTAGCTATTCAAATAGTTGGCCCATTTAAAAATTAGGTAATTTGTCTTTTAATTGTTGAATTGTAAGAGTTCTTCATCCATTCTGGATACAAGCCCATTATCAGGTATATCATTTGCAAATATTTTCTTATGTTCTGTGGGGTGTCTTTTCAAGTAATTTTCAAATGACTTTTCTTGATTGTGTCCTTTAAAGCACAAAAGTTTTTTTAACTTTGAGGAAGTTCAATATATCTATCTTTTCTTTTGTCACTTCTGCTTTTAGTGTCATCTCTAAAAAAATCATAGCCTAATCCAAGGTCACTAATATTTACTCCTGTTTTCTTCTAAGAGTTTTAAGATTTTAGTCCTCATATGTAGGTCATCAATTCATTTTAAATTAATTTTCATATATGGTATCAGGTAGGGGTCTAACCTCATCCGGTTATCTCAGAACCAACTGTTGAAGAGACTATTCTTTCCCTGTTGAATGGACTCAGTACCTTGTCAAAAATCAGTTGGCCATAGATGTATGGGTTTATGTCTGAACTCTCAATTCTATTCCATTGATTTATATGTCTATTTTTATGTAAGTACCTACTGTATTGATTATTATAGCTTTACAGTAAGATAATTACTAGAAGCAACGAAGGACATTTTAAAATGATAAAAGAGTCAATCTATCAAGAAGCCATAATCTAATATCAGAGCCCAGAAATATATTAAGCAAAAGTGATAGAATTAAGGAACAAATAGTGGATATAATAAGTAGGTAGATCATCTATAAGGAGGCAGAATTGAAAAACAATATAAACCAACTTGATTTAGACAGCTATAGAATACTCTACCCAACAATAGCAGAATATATGTAAACATATACACATCTCAAATTTTTAATTTTTTAACTGTAAACCTATTTGTGTCTCTAACTATGAGTTGAACATATGGTTGAATAGCATTTTTTATGCACTAGACAAATCCTTGTCTTTTGATTGTAGTGTTTAATTCATTTACATTTAATGTAACTACTGATAAGAGAGGACCTACATCTTTTGTTTTGCTATTTGTTTTCTCTATGTCTTTTAAAGAAATTCCTCTCTCTTCCATTACCTTTTCTATTATATATTTTTAAAAATATACCATTTTAATTTCTTATTGCTTCTTATTATATTTTTTGAATTGTTTTTATTGGTTGCTGTGGGACTTACAGCTAGCATCAAGTTATAACAATCTGGTTCAAATTAATACCAACTTAATTTCAATAATTTACAAAGTTTGCTTCTATATGGCTTTGTTCCCTATCCCCTTCTTTGTGCCATTATTGTCATACAAATTTTAT